GGAAGGGGAGGGAGAGGAGAAGAGAGAGAGAGAGAGAGAGAGAGAGAGAGAGAGAGAGAGAGAGAGAGAGAGAGAGAACTGGTTTCGTTCCTTCTTGCCCTGATCAGATCTGTTCAGTCCTCCTGTGGCCAATTTCTCCCTCTAACCTCTTGCTCGCACTCCTAAGGCAGCTGGGACGCAACTATCTCCAGAAGAGAAGCCGGGAGGGAAGTAACCAGCGAACCAGAACCAGAAGGCTAGGGAGAAGGGAAAGGGAGCACAGGGAGGGGCAGGTGGCTCTGGTGAGGAGAGGCTGGAGGAAGAGTAGGAGGGACTTTTAAAAAATCAGTTTGAGCACAGTGGCTCCATCCCTGCTAGCAAAAGGCAGAAAACAAACCGGAGACTTTCTTCCTTTTCTGCTGTTTATTGTGGAGGTGTTCGCTGTTGTAGTTTGCTGTGTATTCTTCTGATTCCAAATAAAATCACTATTACACGAACAACACGCTTAGCTCCCTTCCTGGACCTCTTGGGAGGGCCTCGGACCCAGACACTTGTGCCATCATCCTAGAACTTAACCCAACACGGCTCTCCTTTTCACGTATGTCCTCATCTTCTCCTGAGGAGAAAACGAAATGAAATTGCACCCCAGCGGACACACACACACACACACACACACACACACACACAACCCCAAGCCCACTCCCACCCTACCAGACCCTCTCTCAGTGGGTGTCCTTGAGGACCTCTGACTGGAGAGTGAGCCACCGGATTCTAGAAGATCCTGGTGTGCAGAGCGGACTTAAAGGTAACGAGTTCTGATGTCCAAGTTATTCCTGTATCCTTGATTGTAAAAGAGAGACTAAGCTGTTCTCCAGTGGTCTGGCTGCAGATACCATATCCCAGGCACCTGTTGTCTCCCCCAACCCCCAGGTAGGGTTTCACTCTGCAGCCAAGGTTGGCTGTGAATTTACAGTCCTACAACTTCAGCCCCCACAGCATTGGAATTACCAGCATAGATCACCCATGTTGGGCTATAGGTATTGTTTTCAAAGACTCATCAAAACAAAGCCCACTTTACAGATGTATTGAGAGAAAAGGCAATGCCTAGGAGGTGGTGTAACTGAACTCAAAGCCAGGGAACCGGAGTTCTAAGCTGTGTTCTCCACACTCTTAAGGATGGAAGTGACTTTTAAACCAATCTGAACAAACAATCCCTGGGCATGTCCTGACCATAGTTCCTGGCTGTGGCAATAGAATTCTCATTCAATGTCCCTTACACAAAACTGTCTCAGCTCCGGGTCATGGACATTTTTTTGGGAAAAGAAACAGATTCACGGGTCACATAGAGCCTTCAAAGTTTAGTTTCTCCTTTATTGGTGAATAATAATAAATTCCTCTTCGAGTTTTGTTGGGATCATATTAGAAAGCAGTACTCAGTGACTGGCGCATGCCTAGTCTTTAGTACAGACTCAGTTCCTTTCTTCTTGAGTTATCCCAAATGTAGGCCATATTCTCCCCACTGAGTCACTCCAAACCACTGTTCTGTTGTTTGGATTTTGCCCTTAGCCACCCCAGGAACAACTCTGTAGATAATAAGCCATGCTTCCAGAGCAGTGGAGAGGCTTCAATGAGATCATGTGGGTGATCTTCTTCTGGCACAGAAAACATAATAGCTTTTGTGATTAATAATGAAAACCTAATTGCAGAATTCAATAGGCTCTGGAAACTTACTCTTTGATTTCCCCTGTGAATCTTTGGGTTCTGTCCCCTCTCTGTTTTGTCTCAGTCGTGTGAAATGTTCTCACATCTTCATGTGCTGCTGTGAAGCAATGCCAAATTGGGAAGAAAATTCTGGATTCTTCCTGCTTAAGGTGGTCACTGTGACCTGCTGTTGTCCTTAAGGCCACAGTCCTGCTTTCTCCAGCCAGACCCCTCAGTGTGAAAAGTTCACCCTCTTTCTCATAGTATCCCCAATGACCTGGCTCCTTCATTCCTTTAACTCCAGTACATGGCACATATTTCCGCTGCAGTTTGTTGCCCTGTAATTTATAAAGTTCTCACAATTTGTGGAAATGACTGAGTACTTCCTAATGGAATGAGCCTTCACTTCTCTGTGCTTGTATCTTCTCCTTTGGGCCTAATAGCACAGTACTGTAATTCTAGGACTCAGCAGGCTGAGTACTTGGGGGACTGGAGATTGGAAGCCAGAAGAAGCTATATATGAGTTCAAAGCCATCCTGGTCAACATAGCAGGACTAAGCCCCTGTCAGAAGAAACGGGAGAGGGAGGGGGGAGCAAGGAAGGAAAGGAGCAGTTGGGAGGGGAGAGAGTGGAGTGGGGAGAAAATACTAACATAGTGCCCAGCATGTACTTCATGCATAGAATTGGCTGAGACCTAGGAAAATCGCTTGTCAGTTTTTGTCACAAGCAGTCATCAGACCACACCCATCTTTGTATTTCAGTGACCACTTACTAGTTTCAAAACAAGGAGAGTACGGTGTTACACACATGAAGTGATCCCTATTAGGGGCTGTCAGCTATGACTCAAAGACAAGAAAGGAATCCAAATGTGGAAACCATTGAACCAAGTGGGCAATACTATGAGGATCCAAATCTTAAACCATTTTAGGCTCCTTTACACTGATACACCCAGAAAGATGGAAGCATATAGAAAACAGGGGAATCCAGGAGCAGTGAGTCTAGTGAAGACCTTTGCCAATCTTCTAAGCAGCTCTTGCTGGAGCTGATTCGAAAGCAAACTGCACTGAAAACACACTGTCCCCTTATCAGCACTCCTGCGGTTGCCACTGAGGCCCATCAAAGATACTAGGACAGGGTTTTCTGCTATCAGGACTGCAGAGTCTCAGATCTGGTCATTGAAATTGTTTCAGAATTCTGGTATCTCTTGATCCCTGCTTTCCCCAAACAATAAATAACTAGATCACATGCTTGCTAATTCTGGCCAGCCTCAAGTGTAGGATTTCTTGTTTGGGGGAGGATTCAGAGCTTTCCACAAAGAGTAACTTCAGGGCTAAACACACAACCGGTAAGAACATCTTGTATCTGATCTCTCTATTGTGTCAGATTAAATGAGAGTTGCTTTAATTTTTAGTAACAGGATATTCCACACATACTAGTGTTAGTGTTACAATCAACTGCCAAGCCAGGGACACATTCTTCTCTCTTTCCTAAATGCAATGCAAAGAGTTAAAGAAAGGGTTTCCCATAGCTGCAAAACCACCGCAAAACACAGCTTGAATTTTAGTGGAGTCTGTTGAGTTGAACTTTACTTTTGGCTGCAAAAGCCTAGATCTATATGTGTGTATGTGCACTGTGCTTGGGCATTCATGTGCTAAAATCTTCATCGAATGCTCACATACTGTGGCACACTATGCAATGAGTTCAATATGGACACAGGGGTTTAAAATTAGGCCAGTTGTGATACTCCACATAGACTTTCACAAGATCGGGCCCACTAACATTTCTCTGTGGGTGGACAGGAGTGTTTTTAAGGAGCAGCACATGAGGCACCACAGCCCTCCCTGTGGATATACAGTGATTAACGATTTTTGGGAAGGCCTCTTCTTTATGGATGTAGCCACTGGTAAGCTGCTCACTCACTTGTAGGTGGTCCCTTACGCCTGCTCCTCTAAGTGACCACAATGAAAACATTTTGGTTCATAGACCTGGACCTGGATGGAGTTGTTTTGTTTGTTTTTGGTCTGTCATTGGTACCCCGAACTGAATGGCTTGTTCCCACAGCCCAGAAAAGTTAATGTCAATGTCATATCAGGCTGTATTTGCAGCTGTGGGTTCTGGTGCTTATCATTTTATTTCTCCCATCTTCATTTCATCTATCCAGTGGATATTTTGTATCCATTTTGACCATGACCATTAATTTGGTGTAAAGAATTGGAAGATGATGACATATGGTCTCTTTCTGGGAAAGTTTAGTCTACTGGGGACGTAGCTTATTAATTCACTTTGGAAATATTGATGTAATTTTGGTTGACTGAGCCCCCCCCCCCGAAAACCACAGAAGATACACTGCATGGAAAAGGCAGCATTTGAACAATTTTGAAGTTAAGTGGGAGACTTTTCAAGAGATTTTTAGATAGCATGTTCAAGACAGCAGAAGATTATCTACATAGATCATATTCGGGGCTGAGAAAGGGCATCTACTACGGTGGAGTGGGAGAAGCCATTTTTATGGAATTGTCATGTCCCTTGCCCAGTGTTTTCACCAGTTATTTCCTCAGTTAAGTCACATTAACTGTGTGTTTTTATTTAGCTATGGGGTAGCTACAAATGAGATGGTTGAGTCTGACTTTTCTATGAGGCCTCAGCACTCACTACTAGTAAACGTGTGGATGACCTGTTGACATCATGCATTTAGCATATGGGAAAAAGGAACTCATCATTTGCACCCTCCAAGCATATTCTTGCCTGCAAACATTTATGACTGATCCCATCACCCTTTTGGTCACCCAGATTCCACGTCATGGTCCTTATTTGGTTTTCCTCAGATGGAGTCTATAGAGTGCTTCTATCTTGTATGCCCCCCCCCCCAATTCCCCTCATCTATTCCTATTGCAACCTTTTTCGTTGAGCTACTGATTTATTTTTAAGATAGATTAGTTTTATAATCTCTGAACTGGCCTTATTTTTTTTTCTCTCCAACCCCCTGCTTGATTTCTACTGCTGTGAAAGCAATTACCACAGATTTAGAGGCCTAAACAATACCCATTTATTGTCTCCCAAGTCTACAGTACAGGTGGACTCAGCTGAGTTCTCTGCCCAGGGTCTTGCAGTCAAATTGTTGCCAATTTGGTGATTTCATTTGAGGGTTTTCGAAAAGAATCTTCTTCCAGTCTCTTCCATTTTAGTCATTTCTGCCAGCTGTGGGATTGAGGTCTCATCTCACTAGCTGTTCGCCGGGGCTTGTATCAGCGCCTGGAAGCCCCCAGACATTTCTGCTCTGTGCTGCCCTCTGTGTTTATCTAGCAATGTAGAATTCCTTCCATTTTTTAAAACTGTGGTTTATTGTGGTACGTCTGACCTATTTCTACAGAATAAACCACAAATCAAAACAAACAAAAAGAAAAAAATAAAACCAAAACCCAATAAAACATTTTTTTTAAAGAAGAAATTACCTGATGTTAGGCCCACCAATGATTATCTCCAACTTTTAATCAATTTTGGCATATGATGTAAGCTAATCATTTCACCTCTTCCAACTCAAAATGGAGGGCCCCTTTAAAGGTCACAGGTCACTAGGAGCCATTTTAGAATATTGACTACTAGGCTTGTGTTCTCCAAATCTACCACTTTTGCTATAAACTTTTTTCCAAAGGCAAGGAACTGCACGTAACTGGTGTAGGAGGTTTTTCTGTCTATGTGTTGCTTTCATTGGTTGAATAAAGAAACTGCCTTGGCCTTTTGATAGGGCAGCACTTAGGTAGGCGGAGTAGACAGAACTGAATTCTGGGAGGAAGAAAGCAGAGTGAGAGAGAGCTGCCATGGAGCTGCCAGGTCAGACACGCTGAATCTTTCCTGGTAATCCACAACCTCGTGGCGAACACAGGTTATTAGAAATGGGTTGAATCGAGATGTGAGAGTTAGCCAATAAGAGGCTAGAGATAATGGGTCAGGCACTGTTTAAATTAATACAGCTTCTGTGTGGTTATTTACGGACAAACAAGGGGCCCTGCTCTCCCTTCAACACATAACCAACTACATAAAAAAAAAAAAAAAAAAGAAAGAAGAAGTCAAATAAAGACCTGAGGGCCTACTCCAACTTTTCAGGTTTTTCCCACCACCCAATGTTTGAATGTTTCTTCCTCTTTTCCCACCCCCTTCCAATAGAACAGCCGCAGCTTTGAGCACTTGCTAGTTTCCGTTCCTTGGTTTGTCTGTTGTGGTCCACTCATCTGGAGCTGTTGCCTTTTCCATGAATATTTCAAAGTGGTGTCTGCTCTTTCTCCTTTCCATCTCCACAGCACTCAGAACTTCTCTTACAGCACCCAGGAGACATTGTTACATGGCTAGTTTACATCTATGAAGCAAGACCCATTTTAAAATAAAAAAAGAAGTAATAACAACAATATAAACATACAATGCCCCGTCCCAGTGAGGGATATCAGGATCTAACCTCTGACTTTACGTCTGCTCCATTGTTTTCTGGCATGTTCCTCTTTCCACAGGAATGCAGGGAGGTACCCATCCTATTTTCTTCTCACTCATTCTGGCCCAAGCTTCACATGAACTTTATCCCCTTCTCACTCTCAACATTGACACATCGGAACTAGCAAAACTCAATTTGTTCAGGGATGATAGGAACAAGCATACCATGGTGGTTTGAAAGAAAATGCCCTAAAGGGACAGGCACTATTAGGAAGTGTGGCCTTGTTGGGGTAGGTGTGGTGTTACTGGAGGAAGTGAGTCACTGTGGAATCAGTGTTTCAGATCACTTCTTGTTTCACATGCAAGATGTAGAACTCTCAGTTACCTCTGCAGCACCGTGTCTACATGCTGGGTCCTGCCATGATGATAAAGGACTGAATCTCTGAACTGTAAGTGAGCCACTACCATTAAATGTTGTCCTTTATAAGAGTTGCTGTGGTCATGGTGTCTCTTCCCAGCAGTAGAAACCCCAAATAAGACATATACCAAATATAACAGACAACTATAAAATCACTATACAATCTGTCTTACATTACATTTTTCCTTTTGGTTTTCTCTCTTTCAAAAATATGACTTAGAAAAATGCATGTGTAAGTGTGTGTGTGTGTGGTGTGTGTGTGTGTGTGTGTGTGTGTGTGTGTATGCCATGTGTGGGGATGCCTGAGGAGACCATAAAAGAGCATCCATTCACCTTTGGATTTGAGTCTTCAGGAAGAATAGCAAATGTCATTATCCATGGAGCCATTTCTTCAGCTCTGGTTTCCTGTCCTTTGAGTGTTTTTCTTTGCAGTCTCTGTCTTTTCATCATTTTTGAAATGTCACCGATGCCAGACACTGTTACCTGCAGGTGATAAAGCAAGACTGAGTCAGAGGCGGTTGTTCCTTTCCAATGAGGTCACAAATCTTCACTGAGCGCATCTTATGAAGCCTGCACAGACTCTTGTAGATGCCCTCAGTTCTCAAAAGATTTCCCACATTGAGTTTAGAGTCCTAAAATGTGGAGAATTTCCCCCAAATTTAAAAAAAAAACAAAAACGAATTGCACAGAAATACCATGGAGATAATAAGCCATAGTTGCAGGACCAAGGCCAGTGTGGGAGTTGATCGCATTTTGCCATACTGGGGTCTACAAAGGCTGCCTGCAGACAGCATTGGAATGGAATCATGAATGATTTGAAAGGCAGGTATAGGAGGCTCTGCAAGGAAAGTGTTCCAGATGAGCACACCAATTAGCAAGAACGGTTTGCTAAGCATCATCTAGTGACCATTCTCCACTTCTGCCTGCTAAGAGCCACTCAGTGACCATCTCTCACTTTCTGGAAAATCGGCATAAAAAAAAAATCAGACATCCTGTATCTATTCTCTGGAGAACACCCAGTGAGAATGGGAGACAGTCTTGTGTGTGGAGAGAGCTGGCTGTATCTTCACTATGATTTACTTTGTTATCCTAGATCCTTCGAGGCACGGATTTTTTTTTTTTATTTAGATTTTATTCTTGTTGCCGTCTGCAGGGTTCCTTCTGTAGAGTTGCCTTCTATAGTAATATTGATATATTCTGTAGGGATATTTTCTGTGTTTAGTTCAATCAGATACTGACATGTGACATGGGTACCACATCACATCTGCCAAACACATCTGTTTATCTGTGAGAATCCATTGAGTTAAAATAACTTTTACATTCTCGTAGAACAAATCCTATGTTTTGTTTACTTTGTCCTTTTGTAACATTCGCTCAACTTGTTTTCAATTAAGGCATTCCTTAAAGTTTTAATGATATGAAAATTGAAGATGACTAAACAAATGGAATAAGAAAGAAGAATTAGTCAGCTCCTTGAGGGCATAAGATGTGTTTTATATATTTTTGCATCACCCATAGTCACCGGACTCAAACAAAACCAAAATTAGCATTTTAAAACATATTTTCCACTCACACTTTCTCTGTGCCTAGGGTGTAGAATACTCTGCATGTTGATTATATCTTTATAATCATATAGTATTTTGATCTTTCTAGTTAATTAAAAATAGAAATTATGAGGGCAACAAATCTCTTTCTATGCTGTTTCATTATCCTCCCTAATTAACAAATTGGAACGGCATGCACACTAAGGCTTGATAACTGATCGGCATACTTGACTGTACTTCTCCTTTGCGTGACCGAATTCCATAGTTTCTAAGTCTCACTCCTGAAAACAGTGCTAGGGGGAGTTATCACAACATCCATCAAACACCAGAAAAAAAAGTTGACTTCCACTAACTGTCTGTTCCCATCAACGGAATGTTTCCAGTCAAGCCTGAATCATATCGAGAGGCACACACGATGTGAGCCTACCTCGAATGCATTCCTTCTGTGCTCCCTTAAGAGAGGAGCCTGGACAGGTTCGTTCAGGAGATGTTTGTGGAGCTTTCCCCATGCTGTCTGTGGGCTCTGCACTGTGGATCCACTCACCAGCCTCGTCAATGTCTCCCTGAAGACTGTTCAGGCGCTATATTTTATCTGAGATCTGTCTTTAAATTCTTAACAGCCTCTAGATGGCCTTCCTTCAGCAGCAGTTTTCTCTTTGTGTCTCTGTCTGTCTGTCTGTCTGTCTCTGTCTGTCTTTACAGCAAGTTCCGTACAGTAGCTGTTTCACCATGACTCCTGACGTTTAGAAACAGTTCCTTTGGAAATGACTCTTCCAGAGCCCTCCTCTCTGTTTTCACCTCAGTTCTTGGGTGATAATTTCCTGAAATGAGTTTCAAAACAGGAACACATAACAAATATTTTTATACCTGGCAATTGCATTACACATTATCTGATGATCGTTTCTATTCCTATTTCTGCACTGGTTTCTCTCTAGTGGGAGTGGTTGGAAGACTCACACAGGAATGAGTCCCCGCTCCCGAGGTTAGGCTCCTCTCTTTACCCTTCCCCATATTGTTCATTTTTTTTTCTCATCTTACTGACACCATCCATAATTGCAGTGGGGCAGTGGATGGAGGAAGATACTGACCTTCCCAGAACTGGAGCTGAGTCACTGGGGGAGGTGATCTCATCCAAGATTCATTCATTCATCAGCAGGTGGCCTCTGCCTTTTCACCCTCTTGACTTCAGGTGTAGCTGCTTGGATGGCCCATGTAAAACCTTAACAAGATCAGTTAAAACTGCTGACGTATGATGGCAATGGTTTTAGATACTTGGATGGGAGTGTAGATATGATAAAAAGTCTTCACCACAGACTGTTTTGTTCTCTACTGTTGCTTCCTAGTTCCCAGGTGTACCTCTGGCATTTCCTCCTTGAGGGAAGTCATTTTAAACTGCCCCTGGATATCTGCCCACGGAGAAACTAACAGCTTTCCTTGACCACAAGCGATCATCTACCAACAACTCCTCCACCCTGCTTTTCAATTTTTGAACTCTGAGGTTAATTCTTGCCTTATAAAATTAAGATCAAGATAACTCTGGCAAGGAGCCAGCCCCTGCAAACAAGTTCTTTTACTGGGCAATGAAGAGTGATTGCACAAACGCTATATAAATATTTCAAGTCCCCATGTTGTCAGTCCTGGTAACTATTGCTGTAAACAGGGCAGCAGTTGGGAGTAGTGCTGGGGGAGCTCCATGGGCTTTGAGCAGAGAGGAATCACAGTGAAAGGGAAACTGACAAATCCTTACTCTACAGGTCACAGGGGTCAGGACGACCGCTCTTCGGTTTCCATAATCCCACTCTCTATGTTCAACCTGCAACACTTTTTTTCTTATTGAATTGCATGTTTTGAAAGTAGTACAGATGGAGGAAGTGTATTGACTTGGTAGTTAGTTAACTATACATTTTGAATTTTAACACCAGATCTGTCAGTTCAAATTCATTGCCAAGAATTCACTCCAACAAATCTCTGTCCTGTCATGGTTGTTCTTGTTTTAGCTACTTTAATGCAAAATTTCCCCGAAATGAGACCCAGGTAAAGAATCCAGCCCAAACTATCAACCCTATTCGATGACCCAACTTCAGCTGCCAGTTGTTTCCTGCAGACCTTCTGTACAACCCCAGACTGTTAGGATGTGGTGCAGAAACAGGTGAGAGCTAGTACCAGCAAGGGATGCAGTGCATACACCGGTGGGTGAGAGCCAGTACCAGCACGAATGGGCACCTGAGCACTCTTGTATCTCTCTTCAAAACCAGCTTCCTAATGGTGAGAGTCACTCCCTCTGCCAGGAAAGCTCTTTGCCTATTTGGTAAATCCCTCCTGAAGGGTGGCTGAAGGCCATCAGCGCAGAGTCATTCTGTCCAGGGAAAGGAAGATGGAAGGAGAAAACTTGATTTTCATTTTTTTCTTCTCTCTTCTCCTGTTGTAACACTGCACCTCCCATTGACAGCAGACACTCGTTCCTTTTCAGCAGAAACAAATTCCATTTTATGTCTCCTTCAGAAGAGATAAATTTCTCTTTCAGTGACATCATGATTAAGACTGCTTTCGGCATTTTCCTCTCTAAATTCGTGGTTGTTTATCATGCAAACTCTTCTTTACATCATCCGCGCCTACTAAATATACGGAAGTGATTTTCAGATCCGAAGTTCTTAGCTCCATCCTTTCTTTGGAATCAGTTAAAGAGATTTTCTATTTGAAATTGTTTCAGGACATCAGATTCAAGCCACAATAAAAGAGTAGAGGCAACTAAGAATTTTCCTGATGGCTTCAAATTGTTCTGTAAGAAGGGATTTCAACTATTGTCAGTCTTCTTGGAATTCCTATGGACAATGCCTGTCCTGCATGGTAAGAGAAATCTCACCAGTGGTAGGACTTGTGTTTCCAGATGATGCTGGGAAACAATTCACTGGTACACTAGAGGTGGGTGCAAAGAATAGAGCTAGAAAATGCGAGAAACTTTCCCTTCCTCTAAGGCACGCACAGACAAGCTGCTATCCCAATGTCACTCTAACGCAGCTCCTTTCTCCTTAAAATAAAGGAAGACTTTCCATTCTGACTATCATAGAAGGAAGTTTCTCCAAGGAGATGGTCTCCAGGAAGTAAGGTACAGGGGTGCAGGGTCCCCCAATAGGACACTTTGTGCTCTATAAGAAAGGGGCAATCTTTATATCAGAGATACAAAGAATTCCTTTCTTTGGGTCTTGTCAGCCATCCAACTTCAAAAGTCCCCTAATAAAACAGAGATATTCCTGAGAAGGCTAACACCTTGAGTATTATCAACTGGTACTAGTTAACACCTTGAAGGAAATTTAGGAGAGCTGCCAAAAGTTGGTCCAGAAGGGAAGCGGGGGGTGGGGGGGGTGGGGGGGGGAGTAGGAACAGTGCCCAGCAGGAAGGACTGTAGCCGTCCTTTCTGTCAAGTCAGGATCAGCTTCAAGGTCTCAGAACAGGTGGACTCTGTCTTAGCCCAGTGGCCTTGGACAAGTGTGCACTTCAGCTAAGCTAGTTTCTACTTTACCTGTTAATTGGAGGGTATAATTATTTTTTATCTCATAAAGGGTGTTGGGAGAATTTATGGCCTATAAAACATTGGCGATTTTCAATGTGAGGCAGTTCACAAGTACAAAGTATTATTACTGGCTTTACGACGGGCCTGTAAATGGGATTAGGTAGCCCTGGAATGCTGATATTTAGTGAAATTATTTTATCTGTACTCTGCAGAGAGGTGGGTCGAGTGGTATCTCTTACCAGGCCGTGGTAGAAGTCCTACTAAATATTGATGGGTATAGACTAGGGCCCTCGTGTAAAAGCTGTGCTGTTGGGCTTTATTGCCCAGCACAGGTGTTTTATGGCATTCCTTATCTATGAGTAATATCCGAACGCAGTGCCTAGCCCAGCTCAAAGTCAGTCTGAGGAGGGATTTTTATTTTTCAATCCTGTAAAAAAGTGAGACGTTCATCTTTTCTTTCTCTACAGTCATCTCTGCTATCTCAATTTCCAGCAGCAGGACGCACTGATGGTTGAGCTGGTTTAGCGTTACTGCTTGTTTGTCTCTCTGCACACGTACACAGGGGACGAGAACAGCTGAGGTGACTTTCCACTCCACACTTATTAAGGAATCCACGGTGATTCCCCAGCGACCAACATCTGACATTTGAACTTCTCATTCCAAAGTTCAATAACATTTATCGGTCCGCTCTGTCAGCTTCGTTTTCATTTCCACTCGCCATAATTTTAGTCCAGCTAACCAATTTGCCAGGATTTTAGCCCAACTTCTGCTACAAGCCCTACCTTTCCGAGGGCAATCCCAGAACTTTGAGAAGCATTTGGTGTAGTGACTGTTCAGTAGGGCCATTCAATGCTTGGATAAATAATTTCAGACCTGAAATCCTGTCCCCTTTCTGCCCTCTAATCTCCCCAGACATCTTTGTGACTCAGTGTGATGCACCCCTGAATACATATTGTGTAGTTAATTCCAGCCTCTCCATGACAGGGCTCATATGTTCGTACTCATCATTTTATTTAATCCCTTTAATTTGCTGCTTAAGAGACATGAGCATTTGTGGTTTAATGCATACATGTTTTACGTATGAGAGAACAAGCTTGGTTGTTAGATCTGGGCCTTGGATTTCTCCCAATCTAAATGTCATCTTATTAATTTAAATATCTCTTGTTCAGTGGAGAGAGTATTTATTTCTGGTTTACTGACCTTCCCTAAGGTGCAGGCCCTCTGTGTAACACACATTTGTGCACACACACACCCTAGTGCAGTTCAAAGTTATTATTATTTGACTTGGAATTAGCTGGATAACCTGTACCAGAGATCGTCTGAAGAAATCTGGAAATCTACATAATGTTATTGGTCCTCCTCACTGGGCATTGTGCTGCAGATGGCACTATATTAGAAGACCATGGCTTGTTAGCCTAGACTATTTTGGTCTTAGTATGTCTCATATAACCCATGTCTTATGCAACCCAGGATGCCTGTTCACTGTATTATTAAGGTTTTCTATAGAGAATTAGAAAAACTAAAGAGACATGCACACACATGGAGGGGGAGCTGAGCATACTGAATTTGAAAATCTGAAGATTCGCCAAAATCCAAAACTTTTGGAGTCCCAACAGATGTTACAAAATCTTTCAGATTCTGCCTTTCTTACAGTTTCAGCTTTGGATTAGAGATGAACAAGTGGTGTGATCTCTGCAAATACTGTAAAATCCCAACCCCCAGAAAACTCTACTCACAAGCATTTTCTATGTGGAGATCTGTAATCTACATCTGCCTCTCTATCATCTATCTATATACATACGCATATATGTAAAATTATCCTTCTTGAATACCCTCTCTCTGGTTCTCCCCTGCTCTTCAACTCTTTTATAAGTTTTGGATTTTGGCTAATTGGTGAGCACCAGTTTCAATGTGCAACCCTGTCTCAAAAACTAAGGTGGAGAGTTTTTGAGGAAGACACCTGATAATGACTTCTGGCATCTACATGCCTCAAATCTGCACACACAAGAACACATGTACTTGCTACCTCCAACATGAAAAAAAAAACTATGTATTTCAGATCTATCCATACTGATGCATTCGAGGACAAATACACACCTGCGAAGCTACTTACAAGTGTAGTGCCCTATGTTCTATGACTTAATCATTACCTCTAGAAGTTTCCTCTGTTCATCTCTTGTTTTGAAAAGCATATTTAACAATTGATTAATCCTCTATCACTGTAAGTATTTAGCACAGTATTGCTATCTACACATCTTTACGTTTACAGTCATCTTTCAGATTTATTCATATTGCATAGATTATACTCCATCTATGGATTCATCTTGTACCATTGTACTCTGGTCAGCACCTGGCTTGGTTCCCCTTCTCTTTACTTTGTCCTGAGTCTGATATGAAGTACATAGAATCTTATGTTCCTACCTAGTGTTGGATTCAGTCCTTGTTGAACATGTGGTGGCTACAGAGAGGTTAACAATACACTTTTGTTTGCAAACAATGCTGTTGAGTAGTTAAGATAATCTATTTCGTTTCTGACAGGCATGCCCTAAGTCTTAGAGTCCAAATTTTACCAATCAGGTAATCAGGCCTGAAGGAGTTAGCTGTTATTTTAAGGCCAAACAGAAAATAAGGGGATGATTAGCATTTGAACCCAGCCACTCACATTCCAAAATCTATACGTGTGTGTCCTTGTATCACACAATTTGCAAACAAGGATTAAA